AAAAAAAAAACCATAATATATATGATATTTTAAAAAACTATGGACCAGTACCAAAGCGTGGAAATATTTATTCATATATCATTAACACACTTCTATGCCATATGCAACTCGTGCAATCATTCGATTACACCAATTTTGACTCATCTAACCATAATTGATACCGACCAGGGGCGAGTTCGTGATCAGTTTTTCCTACAGGTTACCTGAATTAATTTGAAGCGGAGAGAGGGGACGGGGAGAAGGGAGGGGGGAGAGGAGGATGGGGGGAGGAAGGAGTGGAGGATGGGGGGGGTCTGAAATCCTCGACCGAGAACGGTTACTCAAGAGAACAAAGGTTACTGGTCAGTGACCTCAGAAATGATAAGGACTGGACGTCTAAACGATGACGCGGGAAAATATTACGACCCGCGAATGCACATTTTGGAGTACGATCGTCCGCTATAAAAACTGCACAGGTGATCCGACAAATCGTACAGCCTGGGTTGGAAGAGATTCATCTGTTACCTTGTACCCTTCCTCGTCGGTCACAACTGAACGTAAGTTTACACTATTTTTGTATTCCTAATAACAATGTTAATAATAATTACAATAATAATAATAATAATAATAATAATAATAATAATAATAGTAATAATAGTAATAGCAATAATAGTAGTAAATATAATAGTTATAATATTACTAATAGTAATAATAGTAATAGAAGTAATAGCAACAAATAAAGATAAAATATTAATGATAATAATATAGATAGATACCGCAAATTCCCGCTCAACACCGAGCTCTATGTGCTTTACAACTTTGTTATTACCCCAGCAGATCAGATAGCATTCTGAAACAATCTCAACTTCCTGGGAAGCAAACAGTGCAAGCTGACATTTATAGGCGCTAAAACACTGACATACTGACAAGATTTTTCACTGTCCATGGGTGGGTACCAATTCCCACCTTGGTGAAGTGAGTGAAGTGAGGAAAATTCGTATAAAGTGCCTTTCCCAATTAAGGACGCAACGTCGGTCCTTAGGCTCGAACCCCAAACCCGCAACATCACGGCTACGAGTTCAGTGATTGCGACCTAAACACTAGACTTCCGACGCCAATATTCAGTATTTTTGCTTCTGTGAGTAGTCATGATGCCTCCGAGTTTTAGTTAATATGCAACCGTCTCATCAGATTTCCAATAAAACAGCGACTCTATTTGTTTTATAGTACATGTATTATTGTTATTTGTGCGGTTTTATTTTTCTTTGGGCGATTAAAAGTTTCAATACGTTGTTTTATTATCATTATTTCTTTGAACTTTAAAAATCAAAGTAGCCTTCTCCTCCCCCCCCC